AGCAACCATTCCACGTTGTGACTGGGAGGTCAATTAAGGAAACAATGTATTAAGGGAAAAACCCTATGTGCTAGTACTGTTTACTATCAAGTCTTGAAGGTAGTGGTTTTTTTTAATCTCCTTTATACAGACTGCATTCTGAGTCAGTTATGAATGTGCTTGATTAAAAATTCAGTCAGAAGTCAAAAAAAAAGCCTAGCATGAACATGCCATAAAATAAAACTGCTGTAATCAGAAGCAACCTGTTATTGAAGAACAGATATTTGTAATAGATAGCAAGAGTTGGCAAGGAGTCATCTAGAATGACTTGCAGTAAACCTTGTTACTTCACCCTGGCTTCAGGCAATTTGAGATGTGTGGAGTATAGTTGTAGGTTTGCTTTCTGATTGTGAATTGGCACACTCAAACTAGAGCATTCTCATGTTATCATAGCCTATTGCGAATGTAGTCTGATCAACTCAAAATAGGGAGGAACAAAGACTTTTAGGACTCAATCCTAGCATCAGGAAAATAAGCAACTAAACAGAAAAGTTTATTAATGATTGAACTTTATTTTAGGGTAATAATAATAATACAGATTGCTTCCTGAAATACTAGATTTTCCAGAAAGAGACTCTCTTTCAAGATTTCTTATTTACCACCATTTGGATTTTTATTTAAGAAATAAGCACTTTGCCCTGAACTACATGAACTCCTAGTAATTTTATCTAATATAATTCTACAAATAGTAAATCCAGGACTTTCTGGATTTACTATTTGTAGTAAATCACGTTCTGATAACTTCATGGATATAATCCCTGTAGTTTCCTTGATAATAATTCTGTAAAAAATTGTAATTGCTTTCAAGATTTCCCAGTCTAGCTTACTGATAGTGACACATCAAAATACTAACCAATCTCCCTTCCCTTCCCGTCCCCTCTTTGGCTGGGTATGTCTAGAGACTGGGTGTAATAAGACTTCTCTGGCTCAAGCTCAATTTATGAGATTTGCAAGCATAGTAGCAAATGTAATGGGCTCTCAATGCTATTAAAATAACAATACATGAAAAATAAAAGTTATACCTTTTATTTTATGGTAGATATAAGCAAGTTTATTAAAGGCCAATGTAAGTGTCAGGAACAAGTATATCTACGTTTTGTTAGCATAGTGAGTCTGTTTCTAATTATAATCTTATGAAAGAGATTATTCTATAATTAGATAAAGAAACTATGTCTCAATAGTAGAGCATGTAGTTTGTATGGAAAAGATTAATATCTGATGAGGATGACAACTGCTGGATGATTTTTGTGAAATATTTACCACAGAAAACATATTTCAGTCTGAGATAAAAGGAAATGATAGATGTGTACTAATATTTGATTGGTTGATTATGTGTCATTAAATCTGTGTCAACTCTTACCAACCTTATAAATAGATCTTCTCTAAAATTATCTTTGCCCAAAGTGGCCCTTCAGGTCTTCCAAGGAAGTACCATAACTACCGTAATTCAATTCATTCCCCTTACTCCTGTTCATTATCTTGTCTTTCCTTCCAGCTTTTCCAGCATCACAGATTGCTCAAGGGAGCTTGGTCTTTGCATAATGTATTCAAAATATGATAATTGAAGCCTGGTCACTTGTGCTTTGAGCTAAAACTCTGGATTGGTTTCTTCTATGATCTGATTGTTTGTTTACTTCGCTACCCATGGTAATCCAAGGAATCTTTTCCATCACCCCAAATTCAAGAGCATCAGTGCTGTTTCTATCCTGCTTCTTCAGGGTTCAGCTTTCATTTCCACAGAGTGTCACAGGGAATATAATTGTCTGCACAGTTCTGAATTGTGTTAGTAAAACATGTTTAGGACATCTGAATCTCTCTTCAAAGGCCTTCATTGATACCCCACCAGATTCTAAAATATGACATTTCTTCACTGCTAGTTCCTTCACCATAGCTGAATCTAAAAAGCAGCAACTATTCACCATTTCACTTTAGTATCCTTGTTCAGCTCTGATTGAAGTCATCCTACATAAAGAGAAAGAACATAATTCATGGTTGAACTCAAACTTGTCTCTGGGATCTGAATTTCATTTACATTGATCTTTCATCTGCTACTAACCTTTCCTTTCTTCCTCTTCTGTGCTTACCTGCCTGGTTTCATCTGACCCTCTACATAAAATCATAGGTAAGATATGGTTCAAAAAATAACTTGAGTTGAAGATGGGTTATATAACAAATCACACTTTTTCCTCCTGGACCACATATAAAGGATAAAGTTCTCTGGGCTTTCCTCAGCCATATCTTTGTTAATATTTAAAATCATCTTTACACTAGATCACTACTGTTACCACAACTTCTCCTTCTCAAAGACATTAGAACATTAGAAATGAAAGGCATGAATCAAAGATGAAATGGTTATGAGAACATGAAATGTACTGCCTTTTTTAAATTCTAACAAAAATTTATTGCACCACTATGAAAATAATTTGCCTTATTTTTTTTTATCCTGAGATGCATTATGTACTGTGTAGTGTACTTGTATTCTTGACAACTGATGGTGTAGATTACCTAGGAAACTATAAAATCTCATTCGATTAGAATGAAGCAAATTTTAAAAACCAAATTCTCATTAATTACCACAGGAATATTATATGCTTCTTAAGGAAAAGCAGATCTAATTCCCTCTTTGAACTTTTTTTTAATCAACTTGGGGAAGTATGTTTCAATGTCCAAAATAATTTTACTTTTAAAGTAAATCTGACATAGAATTTAATTCAAAATGAAAACATTGCTGGACCAAACCTTCATATATTTATACCCCATCCAACACTGATTCTTTTATGTAAAAAGTTCGTTTTTCAGTTTCATGTGATCTTTTTTTAAATAAGGTTTTATTGTTTTTTAAGACAAACATAGGATAAACAAAACAATCTTTTTTAAAGAACTGATTCTCAGTTTTGACTCAATCTATTTTATAATTTTATGTGGTGAATTGTACTGTGTTTGCCATGGTTCTTGATCTTGATATTTATCCTTGCTTAAACCTCAATCATGATTTTAATCAAAGTAATTTAAACAAAGACAACTACAACTTCTTTGACATTGTTTTGATTTTAGATAAGAAATGTTCACTCATTTGTGCTTTATGTTTTTAGTTTTTAAATTTGTTTTCTATTTTCTATTTGTGTTAGATACTTTCTCTAAAATGTCAAAGAAAAGCCAGTCTGAACTAGTGGATAAGTTGGTGGCTTAGGAACTAGCAAACTGATTTCTAGTCCTATCTTAGGCCTGAAAGCTGGTTGGATTACTCTACTTGCTCAGCCCAACCCACCTCACAGGGTTGTTGTGGGGAAAATAGGAGAAAGAATATTAGGTATGTTTATCACCTTGATAAGAATAAGAAAAAGTGTATCCAAATCAAATAATGAAAAGAAAAAGGTCATTTGTGTTGAGCTGACTTCCTGGGGACTTCACAGATTTAAGACAGAATTAAAGTGGTGGCAGCCCAAAACAAAAATCAATTTACTTACTGCAGAACAGTAAGGTAGTAACCGGCTTACAGATCTTGCAGATCTTGTGCTAGAAAGAAATGACTTTTTCCCAGGCAAACAGACCAGTGATCTAAGTGCACACTGCTACTAGTACTATCAATAGCTAACTATTGAGGGTTGGCCTGTGCTGGCACCCCAGGGTAAGAGTAGGAATACAGAACCTCTTGGCCTGCCTTGTTCAGATATGGAACCATACTGTCCTTTAGTCTGTGGGAGGTTTGGTAAACCTAGATGAGATCAACCTCTGCTATCCTACTTTCAACTGCCTCTTCCTCAGGAACTGGCTGTATACCATCAGTGGAAGGGCATGCATTTGAGGGTCCTGCCATTATTGCTTCTTCTATAGATTCCTACAGTAGTCAGGCCTACATTTGTCTGATAGTCTTCCCCAAAGCCAGGGATATGGCTTTCTAGGGCTTTGTGTATCCTGAGGATTTTGAAAGCACGGAAAACTGAAGCACAACCATCTCCTCCTCCCCCTCCCAAGATATTTGAGCTGTAGGGAGCAGGAATGGAATTCCTTGCTTAGTTTCCAAATAATGCTATATATCACCTTCCATTCTTCCTCCCTTACACCTAGTTCATGAAACAAGGGGCACAGAGTATATATTTGGAAAGAGTTGTCAGCAATTGTGCCTCTATTTCTTACCTTCTGTGGATAGCACAAGGATGAGGACATCCCTACATTACTGAAAGAGAGGATAGAGTATCTGAGAAGCAGATTGAGGAACAGAAACTTCTTTGCAAGCATATTTGGATCAGAAAATCACGACTTTTACCATTCCTCTTAGTGGGGTTTGGGAGGAAGGAAAAGAGGAGGAAAGGAGGAGATAGAAAAAAGAAGGAAGGAAAGAAAGATTGAGGTGAGTTAAGGAAACTGAATGTATTAAGGGAGAAGCCCTATGTGTTAGTACTGTTTACTATCAAGTCCTGAGGATAGTGTGTGTGTGTGTTTTTAATCTCCTTTATGCAAGCTGCGTTCTGAGTCAGTTATGAAATGTGTTTGGTTTTAAAAAATGATAAAGTGTAAAGAAACATGCCATAAAATGAAACCACCATAATCAGAAAGATAGAAAGATGGAAGAAAAGAAAAAGAAAAGAAAGATTGATTGAGGTACTCTGGGCAGTGAAAATTGAATTCCACCAAGATGGGAAACAAATACTATATGTTGGTTGGAAATATCGATAACTAGTTTCAGCAAAACAGGCAAGCACCAAGTTCGGGGACGCTACTGTGCCTGTTTTATCTGACCGATTCAAATATCAGATTCAAATATTACGTGGTGCCACCATATTGGTTTCTTTTCAGCCCTTTCCTTCTCCATCCCTTCGCTGGCCAGCAAGCCTGTCTCCCAGTATTCTTTTGCAAGCAGAAAAGAATATCTGTTATCACTCTTCCATCCAATAAGCATCAGAGAAAGAACTTTATGATGGGGGCGCACTTATCCAATGAAGAAAGGAAGGGGCGGGACCACAGGGGCGGGGGCGTTGAACTTTCACCAGCTGGCTTTATTAGGCGGGTGCAGCTGGGGTGTCAACCATAGTGATTGGAACGTTGCACTTTTGGCTTTTCGCAATATCTTTGAAAGAAGCGCTTCCCCAGCCGACAGCGTCCCATCTCTCGAGTCGGGGTCTCCGGTTCTCCCAAAATGGCCGACAATCGAGATTGGGCTAAGGAGCAGTTGAAGCGCTGGCAACAGCAGCGGGGCTCGCAGGTACCGATGGGTCTGTCGGCAGAGTCTGTTTCTTGCGCGCCCGGGAAAATCTGTCGGGCAACTCATTCGGGGAGGGGGCCGAGGACGTCAATCTGGAATAGCGTAATTTAATACAGTATGTTGTTACTGGAGTAAAGAAGAGTCTTTCGTGTTTTTTTTAAGGATGAACGGATAGCCGGGGGGAAAAACGGACTGGAGATGTGCGGTTAATAACTGGGAAGAGGGAACTGTACTTCGGTCTTCAGGAGGAGAGTAGACTGGCTATAAGGAATAGTTTCAGAAATAATTTATCCTAAGTGTAATGTCCAAAATGTGATCTGCTTGCGTTACTCTGCATTAGGGCGTATCAAATTTTTGAACTTTGAATTTCCAAACATTAGGGGTGCTCAAAAGTTGTGACGTACCTTGGGGCTTGTAATACCGTCCCTTTTTCATTTGCGTGTCTCTTTTTTTGCAATAGCTAAGCAGTTTGTTATTTGGGTACTAAGTTCAATTCAGCTAAAAAAAAAATCAAGTAGATAAAGAGTGTGGATTGTTGGGAGAACTCTGAAAAAAAGTAGCACTTTGTCCTTTACTTGCAAATTAATCTAACCTAGCTAATGTCTACATTTGAGGAACTGGATTTACCCGGATAACGGTAGTTATATTATCCGTGGTACTACTCATGTTGTCCTGGAGTGCAGTTTAATGACTTCGTTTCCTGACAGTAAAATGAAGGAAAATCCTTTCTCAGCATCTATCATATTCTTTCAAAAATGATATGCAATATATACCACCTTAAAAGGAAAAGTTCCTGGTGCAATCCATCCATGCTAAAGCTTTTTGAAGCTTATCTTCAAATGAAATAAATGTATTGAACACTGGTATCTGTTGGATTGAAAGAAATCTTAAAGAAGAATTGGTATACTCTTGCAGAACTGTTGGCAGTTTACTAAGTCTAATTAGTAATTCAAATCAGATCAGTATTTCAGTTATCAGAAAAGATCTAGGTAGGCTTGAATGCTTCTCTCCTACTCAGTTTCTCTTTCATTACTCACCTTTGTCAGCCTTCAAAACAGATGTGGGTGGGTTCAAATTCTGGGCTAAGACATAATAGAGTTGGTTTGTAATTTAGCATTGTGAACCAACCATCTTGGATTATAAGTCAAAGTTTATTGTATAATGTGATATCTGAACTCATCTTATTCCACAGATTATGGTTAATGTGATTTATTATCTGAATCTAGTTTGTACTTTATTCTTCATTTTCTAAGTTGATTGGAAATCTGCTCAAATTAATATATTTCATTCTGACTTGAAATATATTTTTCAATTTTGAATTATTAGAATATGGAAGTAGGGAATATCAGTTTATTTGTGGTCCTTTGGGTCATACTTTTGAGAATTGCTAAAAGCATGAATGCAATTAGTAATTATTATTTTAATACAATAAACTGCAAGCATAAATATAGCTAGGGAAAACTTAAGATGATAGCAAACAGTTTTTATTGTTCTGTTTTTATTTTTTTCATTTATTAACCAAGAAAATTACTTATTAAATAATGAGATACTAATTGTTTATTTTACACTATTTTGATTCTAATGTTTTTCTGTAATAGAATAAGTTTAATAATTTGACTGCATTTGTTTACTAAATTGAAAGTTATATTCCCTTCTGCATATTTCAAAGGAAACTTGATACATAATTAATAGATTTAACCTGAATAACAAGCAGATGATTCTTCAGTTTAAACATTATTTAGTATTTTTTTTATAATTCTAACTAAACTGTATGAAAGATGGCTTATATAGCAGTACGTGATTGCTCTTCACTTTGTATGATAAGTTTCTTCTGCTGTTCTCTCTTTTGCTCCCTTCCTAGCCTGCAACCTGCAAAGCAGATATGGAATATGTGCAAAAATGGAATTTGGGAGGATAGTTCAGTCTGTCAAAGTTATCCTTCTAAATCAGATAAAAATAATTTGACACAGCCTAGGAAGTCTAGGAAGTCATACACTATTATTAAAAATTTCAATTCAGTAAAGATTCAAATTTATTTCAAGTGTTGCTTCTATTTAGTACAGTAATTGCTTGAGCACGTAGAACTTATTTTGAAGATTAATTTACATGCTGAGGTAAAATGCATTCTTGTGACTAACACTCTTGACCTGCTTGCTTCCACTTAATCTATCCTCCATGACAAATGGTAAAAGAGGAGAATAAACAATTTGTAGGAATTAATTCCATTGAATTGAATTGAAACACCAGGGGAAATCCTAGCAGTTAGCATAGTAGTCCTCAAACCCAAAATTTCTGCTGTTAAGTGATACATTTGTTAAATGAGTTTTGCCCCTTTTCATGATCTTTCTTGACACAGTTGTTAAATGAATCACTGAAGTTGATAATTTAGTAACCTGGTTGTTTAGTAAATCTGGTTTCCCCATTGATTTTCCTTGTCAGAAGGTTGCAAAAGGTGATCACATGACTTTGGAACACAGCAACAGTCATAAATGTGAACCAGTTGCCAAGCATTGGAAGCTTGATCACATGATCATGAGGATGTTGCAAAGATTATAACTGTGAAAAACAATCATAAGTCACCTTTTCCCAGTGCTGTTGTAACTTTGAATGGTCATTAAATGAACTGTCAAGGGCTACCTGTCTAAGAGGGTGATATATATATGAAGATAGCCGTATCTATTTCTGCTGTTGCAACTGAATATTTACTGTCCCCTATTCAAATTTGGAAGGTTGCCTTAATGAGGATGCATAGAAATCGGATATTTTATTATATTCAATCTTTTTTATTTTAAAACTCAGATTTTGTATAAGACAAAACTGATTTGGTTAGATTTGTTGTTTTATTCTACTAATGTACTGTCTTTTCTTATAAGCACATAACAAATCAAATTACTACTATTACAATAATATACTTAAACAATTAAATTTGGAAGTAGTTAATTTGATTACTCTCTAGCAATTTATATGCTATAGTTATTTTCACCAATTTTGGCATTAAAAAATTACAATTTAATAAAAGTTCTTAAAGATTTCTGATATTGCATGTGGCCCTGAAGGCTTGGATTTAATGGCTTTCTTATCCATGCAGCACATCATTAAATAAAAGACATATTATCAAAAGTTTTGGAAGTGTGGGAATATTTTTTGTTTTATGAGGTCTTGTGATGAAACTTCCCTGAAGCATGCAACTAGAATATGCATTAATACATAGTAATTCTCTTGCACATTTAGCTTGACACACCTTAATAGGTCACATCACTATAGTATGAGATATATCATCCACCTTCTTGGCCATTAGAGCATTTTCTCACGGTCCAATAATCAAGCTCCTTTCAATGTTTTGAATGTTTCATAGAAGTAAACTATATTGGAAAACTACTTTTCAAAATGCAAGAAAAGATTATGCATTCAGAACTCTTTGAGTGCAGTATATCTACCAACCTTGGTTTGAAACTTTTATTATAACACTATTTTTAAGAATTGTTATCATAAAGATTACAGATATATCCCCATGATTTTGCTCAATTTTAAATCTCAGAGAAGCATTTATTTTTTTTAACCAAAATAGATCTTGGGGGACTTTTAGTATAACCTGATTTCAAGATTTCTGCAGCTTTTTCATGTGGTTATCTTTAACAAGAATTCTGCTTCCATTGAACTTCTCTCCTCCCTGTGCTTCTGGCAGTCTGTGCTCAGAAGTTTTAGTTAATAAATATAGTAAATTGCTAAAGTTGCAGGTTGTCATTTCAGAGCTGCTGACTGTAATATTTGAGAGTAGAAATGCCTGAAGTTTGCAGAAAGAGCCAGTGTTATAAAATGAAAGAAAGGTGAAACCAGAAATCTACAGATCAGTCAACTTGGTTATCTGGGAAAATACACAAGAAGTCAAGAAATCTGAGAAAGACTACTTTTTTTTTTACATAATCACAACATAATATTTCTCAGTAAATTTTGATCAAATTCTGTTCAAGTTTCCCATATTGTTGGACACAGTAAATTTTAGTCAAATGATCCTGAGAAATGTTTAAAAACTGTGTGTATGACATTTGTTCCTGAACTGCACAAATGCTGAGAATAAGAACAATCTGTGAAAAACTGTGCCAAAGATTACACTGTTCCATGACAGCTAGGCAAAATGTGAATTTAATGACACACAACAAGGCAACATTAATAAATTGTTTTCCTCTGCTTTTCTCCTTCCTAATGTTCAGAATCCTTAAAGAGAGAAAAAAAACCCTAGTCATATGAGGATAAACCTGTGTTAGTCACGTGAGTCTCGTTAAAGAATTATCAATGCCTTAGGACAGGGGTGTCAAATGAGGGCCGCATCAGGGTTGTGTTTGACCTTGGGGGGCTGGGGTGGGCATGGCCAGCTCGATGTCATTCTTGTTGGGGGAGCCTGTGGTGGCCCGAGTGCTCTGCCAGTAAAAATGGGCTCTCAAGTTCCGTTTTTGGCTGTGATGGCCTCCTGCAACCCTCTGGCAGCAAAAACAGAGCTCAGGAAGGACGCACGCAGCCCTCACAAGCTCTGTTTTCACTGGCAGAAGCACTGTGGGCCAGTTCTTCATTGTTTCCAGCATTCTGCAGGCTGGATCTGGGCCTTGACCTCGGGCCTTGACTTTGACATCCTTGCCTTTGGACAATTGTGATACAAACAGTTGAGCTTTAGTAGTCAGATCCATCACTTTGCATTGGGTCTAAAAAGATAATATCAAGTGGCTGCTTCAAAACAATTCACACTTGTTACTGAGCTGCACAGTGCACTCTATTACCTGAACTGCAACATTTGAATTGTATTATAGGATGATAGAATTGGTAAGTTATCGCCTGATTGATTTTTGTCAATGGACAAGGAGCAAAAGAACAGTAGCATAAATTTGTCCAAATATCATCTTTGCATTGCTACATGTTCCTTTCACATTTCTTTTATCTCCAACTGAAATAGTAACATTGAGTAACTTGTTAATAGAATCCAGAAATCTTTTTGTGCAGTTATTTTA